GCTGCTGCTGCTGTTGCTGCTGCTAGTGTAGCTATTGCTACTGCAACTACTGGCAGTGCCACTGCGACTGCCGCTGATGTTGCCACTGCGACTGCCACTGCGAATCCGAGTGCGACTGCGAGAACACCAGAATTCTACAACAGCACTCTTACATGAATACCACAGGCAATGTTTCCAGCTATGCTTCTACACATCGCTGTTAGGTTGCTTTGCCGGGATAATTGATTTTACAACGGTTTTAGCCACATGTTGGCCTCTTGGGGGGGGGGGTACTGATTAAGAAGACTCCGAGAGCGCCAGGGAGAGCCCAACATGACCTCAAAGATGGCTCACGATATCCCAAGATGTCTCATCATGGCTTCCTCTGTGTGCTGCACACTTGCCTCATCGAGGCAATTCCTCTGGGCTTCGTTTCTGGATGAGCTGGTGGGGAGTCGCGAAGCGTCAACCATTTTTGGGTATGTTCCCCAACCATCCTGTGGTGCTGGGTCCTCGTTTTGAAGAGACGGTGCCCCGCGTCTCTCCTCCTGCCGTCCTTCCTCCTTCCCCTGCTCCCTCCTCCCTCCTCCCTCCTCCCCCTCCTGCCTCCTCCCCCTCCTTGCCTTTGCTCCCGGCACACCTCTCACACGTTTCGTAGCCCCATAGGGAGCTCCACCGAAGGTCCCAGTGGCACAGCCCGCATGCGCCCGCCACACCCAGCACAGCGCTTCGTGGCCCCATTGGGAGCTCCACCGAAGGCCCTAGAGGGGGGGCGCATGCGTCCGCCACACCCAGCACAGCGCTTCGTGGCCCCATAGGGAGCCCCACCGAAGGCCCCAGTGGGGGGGAGGCGCATGCGTCCGCCACACCCAGCACAGCGCTTCGTGGCCCCATTGGGAGCTCCACCGAAGGCCCCAGTGGGGGAGCGCGCATGCGTCCGCCACACCCAGCACAGCGTTTCGTGGCCCCATAGGGAGCTCCACCGAAAGTCCCAGTGGGGGGGGGGCGCATGCGTCCGCCACATCCAGCACGGCGTTGCGTGGCCCCATAGGGAGCCCCACTGAAGGCCCCAGTGGAGGGGGGCGCACGCGTCCGCCACACCCAACACAGCGTTTCGTGGCCCCATAGGGAGCCCCACCGAAGGCCCCAGTGGGGGGGAGGCGCATGCGTCCGCCACACCCAGCACAGCGCTTCGTGGCCCATAGTGGGGCTCCACCGAAGGCCCCAGTGGGGGGGGCGCACGCGCCCGCCACACCCAGCACAGCGTTTCGTGGCCCCAAAAGGAGCTCCACCGAAGGCCCTAGAGGGGGGGCGCATGCGTCCGCCACACCCAGCACAGCCGCTTCGTGCCCCATGGGAGCTCACACCGAAAGGCCCCAGTGGGGGGGGGGGCGCATGCGGTCCGCCTAAACCCCCAACACGGCGCTTCGTGGCCCCATAGGGAGCTCCACCGATTGCCCCAGTGGGGGGGGGGCGCATGCGTCCGCCACACCCAGCACAGCGCATCGTGGCCCCATAGGGAGCTCCGCCGAAGGTCCCAGTGGAGGGGGGCGTATGCGTCCGCCACACCCAACACGGCGTTTCGTGGCCCCATAGGGAGCTCCACCGACGGCCCCAATGGACGGGGGCGCATGCGTCCGCCACACCCAGCACAGCGTTTCGTGGCTCCATAGGGAGCTCCACCGAAGGCCCCAATGGGGGGGGGGGCGCATGCGTCCGCCACACCCAGCACAGCGCTTCGTGGCCCCATAGGGAGCTCCACAGAATGCGTTGCCCACAAAGACGGTCCTCACAACTGCACATGTTCGGGTCCTTCGCCAGGCTAATTGAATTGTCTCCCCGTAGAGGGACACGCCCGACTTAACGCTACTCCCCACACCTCTCCTGGGGCGCACTCTGACCAGGACTTCGAGGCCAAACCGGCCGCGGCGGCGAGGGCCCTCCAGGACGAGCAGCGGCGCGTGGTGATCTCTCCTCCTCTGGAGGAGGGTGGGGGGCATCCAGGATCGGGGGCGCGCAAACATGGATTAGCGATCCACGGATTTGGCGCGCGGTCACCAAATCCATGGATCTGGGGAGGTGCCCTTCCCAAAATGCGGGACCCGTCGCTAATCCACGCCCCGTTAATCCATGTTTGCGATCGCCTGACAGGAGGGGGGCGTCCAAGAGGGAGGTTCGCAAACCGTGGCCCAAGGGACGCGCGCTGCCCAGGGGAGACCAAAGGGACGCATCAGAATGAGAAGAGGGGCCACTATAAACCCGAGGCGGTAGCATGGCCCCGACCACGCTGGAGGAGCAACCCGCTGCGCAAACACACACTCTTAGAGGCCCGCGCAAATGTCTCCGATGCGAGCCCGACTCCCCTCTCTGGCGCGCGGGAAGCGCCGGTGGCGGCGCTGGAGGCGCCGCCAGGGGGGGCAGCGCCACTGCAAGAAGTCCGCGCGGAGCTCTCCACACTGATTCCCCACATGCTTAGTGGGGTGTTGGTGTTCTTCCTTCCCGCGTTGCACCCGCGTCTCCCGCACACACACACAACACACACCACACACAACACACAACACACGCAACACACGCAAAACACACAACACAACACAACACACACAACACACAACACACACACAACACACAACACAACACACACAACACGCAACACACAACACACACACCATACACAACACACACACACACACACACACACTGCACACACACAACATACACAACACACAACACAGAGAACACACACACACACAACACACACCACACACCCCACACAAGGGGTGGTCCCTGAGGGCGGCCGCTATCCGTGACCGTCCTCCAAGGCATGCCAGGCATGGCATATTCTCGACACCATAGGGGGTGCGCAGGGGGTGGTCACTCACCGCGGCCGCTGTCCGTGACGGTCGTCCATGGTACAACAAGCATGGCATATTCTCGACACCATAACGAGGTGCGCAGAGGGTGGTCTGTCACCGCTGCCGCTATCCGTGACGGTCCCCCACGGAACAGCACGCATGGCATATGCTCGACACCATCAATGGTGCGCTGGGGGTGGTCTCCCACCGCTGCCGCTATCCGTGACGGTTGTCCATGTCACAGAAAGCATGACACATTCTCGACACCGCAAGGGGGTGCGCAAGGGGTTCTACCACCGCGGCCGCTATCCGTGACGGCCGTCCATGGCACAACACGCATGGCATATTCTCAACACCATAAAAGGGTGTGCGCATTCACCGCGGCCGCTATCAATGACGGTCGCCCATGGCACAGCAGGCATGGCACATTCTCGGCATCATGGGGGGTGCGCTTGGGGTGGTCTCTCACCGTTGCAGCTATCCGTGACGGTCGTCCATGGCACAAGAAGCATGGCATATGCTCGACACCATAAAAATGGGTGCGCAAGGGGGTGGTCTGCCACCGCGACAGCTATCCGTGACGGTCGTCCATGGCACAGAAAGTATGGCATTTTCTCGACAACGTACGGGGTACGCAAGGGGGTCGTCTCTCTCCGCGGCCGGTATACGTGAAGGTCGTCCCTGGCGCAGCAGGCATGCCATATTCTTTCACCGCGGCCGCTGGCCGTGACGGTCGCCCATGACAGAACAAGCATGGCATATTCTCGACACCATAGGGGGTGCCCGAGAAAAGGGGGTCTTTTACCAGTGCCATTATGCGTGGCGGTCGTCCAAGGCTACACCATGAGGAGTGCGCAAGGGGTGGTCTCTCACCGCGGTTGTTATCCGTGACGGTCGCCCAAGGCACAGCAGGCCTGGCATATTCTCGGCACCATAAGGGGGTGCGCAAGGGGTGGTCTCTCACTGCGGCCGCTATCCGTGACGGTCGTCCATGGCACAGCACGCATGCATAGTCTCGACACAATGAGAAGGGGGTGCGCAAGGTGGTGGTCTCTCACCGCGGTTGCTATTCGTGACGGCCGTCCAAGTCACAGCAATTGTGGCATATTTTCAACACCATAGAACGGGGTGCGCAAGGGGTGGTCTCCCACCGCGGCCGCTACTCGTGACGGTCGTCCATGGCACAGCACGCATGCATATTCTCGACATCATGGGGGTGTGCGCAGGGGGGGGTCTCTCACCGCTGCCTCTGTGCCTGCCAGGGTCGGAGAACGCGGCAGGCGTGGCACTTTCTCGACACCACAAGGGGTGCGCTGGGGTAGTCTCCCTATCCGCTGCGGGCTCGCAAAGCGTGGTGGGCGTGGCATATTTTCGGCACCATAAGGGGTGCGCAAAGGGTGGTTTTTCAGCGCGGCCGCTATCCGTGACAGTCGCCCAGAGCACACCAGGCATGGTATATTCTCGACACCATAGGGGGTGCGCATATGGGGTTCCTCGGTAGCGTAATGCTCGTGCCGTTTTCCCATTCGATGATATCCTCCCCTCTCCAGTCATGAGGGGCAACGATAGGGGGGGACAGGCATAGGGGGGGATGCATCGACCTGGAATCGGCGATATCGTCGATGGATCGGCGATAGGCCCCCGGTAGTGAATCCGCACCTTCCTGGGATGGGTGATCGGCGATCTATGGGCGATTAGGGGACGCTGAATCAGGAACGAAGGGGCTCTCCTGGCCTCAGCGAGCCTCGGCCACGAGCAGGTCCCTGGACCCAGTTCGAAGGCATGACCCGACGCAGCGGAGCCCCGCCTGAGCCCGAAGCGGTCCTCGGCTCAGCGTCTTGGCTGCAGTCATCACCCCTCGCTTGGCCGCCCTCGAGAAGATGGGCGACCCCCAAACGACCACCCTTCCTCCTCCTCCTCCCTCTCCTCCTCCTCCCTCCCCCTCCTCCTCCTCCTCCTCCTCCTCCTCCCTCCTCCTCCCCTCCTCCTCCGCTCCTCTCCTCCCTCCTCCTCCTCTCCTCCTCCTCCTCTTCCTTCCTCTCCTCCTCCTCCTCCTCCTCTCTCCTTCCTCCTCCCTCCCCCTCCTCCTCCTCCTCGTCCTCCTCCTCGGCCACTGGGTGCCTGCACCCGGGCTGCCCCCGCGCTCCGCCTTCCTGGGGCGGGGGGAGCCTGCCGCAGCAGCTTGGCCACGGCCAGCGGTTGCAGCTCCTGGCAGCGGCAGCGGCTGGCGGCGCACCGACGACCGCGGTGAGGGCACCGCGGTGAGGACACCGCGGTGACGACCGCGGTGCGGAGAAGGGGGAGGGGGAGGGGGATGAGGAGGAGGAGAAGGAGAAGGAGGAGGAGGAGGAGGAGGAGGAGGAGGAGGAGGAGGAGGAAGTTCCCCTCCTGCAGTCATAGTCCTCCTCCGAGTCCCCCCTGACTGCTCTGCGGACTACCTACCGAGCCACCCCCTCACGAAATCGCCGCTGGGCCTGGCAATTTCATATGCGGGGAGACAATCCAGAGTACTGAGGGAACATGTAGCTCAGTTGCGGATAAGAATGAGGCATCGGGCGCCTCTTCTTCATCGTCGTTACATTCCCCTTTCCAAATCAGTATCCTAATAGCACACACTCTTCCTCCTCCTCCTCCTCCTCCTCCTCCTCCTCCTCCTCCTCCTCCTTCTTTTCCTTCTCCTCCTCCGCGGCCAGGGTACATGGGGAGGAGGATAGCGAGATATGAGGAGGATGAGGTGGAAGAGTGAGTCATCAACCTCTTTGTCCTCCTGCCCCTCCTCGTCCTCCTCCTCCTCCTCCTCCTCCTCGAGTCCCTCATATTATTCCCCTGCTCCTCCTGCCCCTCCTCCTGCTCCCCTCCTCCTCTTCCTACTCCCCTCCTCCTCCGCTGCTCCCCTACTCCTCCTCCTGCTCCTGTTCCTGCTCCTGCTCCTTCTCCTCATCCTCCTCCTCCTCCTTCGTCTCCTACTCGTGTCGCGCCCCTGCTCCTCAATTGTCACCCCCCTGGAGCACTTCCCCCACGAAAACACTTCCCCTCTGACGTCCGTGCGGATCTCGTGGATCGGCGCGGCACTCCGCTGGCAGCGCCTGCGGCGCCACCCCTGGCGCGCTCCTCGCGCCAGGGAGGGCGTCTGGCGCCGATGGAAGAGATTCGCGCGGACCTCCGCAAGTCTATGTGTGTACTGTTGTTCGTTCCTCTGCACAGCGCGCGCTTCCTCCCTTCCCCGCCCCTGCCCCTATCACCCCCTTCCCCTTCGCCCCGCCGCATCCCCCGGGGGTGCCCTGAGCCCCCGCCCCACACCCAACCCCGCAGATGGCCCGACATAGGGCCCCCCCAGACGAGCAGGAGTCTGGATCCACGGTCCTGGATGGGGGACCGGGAGGAGGAGGAGGAGGAGGAGGAGGAGGAGGAGGAGGAGGAGGAGGAGGAGGAGGAGAGGAGGAGGGAGGAGGAGAGGAGGAGGAGGAGGAGAAGGAGGAGGAGGAGGAGGAGGAGGAGGAGGAGGATGAGGAGGAGAGGGAGGAGGATCAGGCACATCAGGGTGATCAGGAGGGCGAAGAGGGGGGGGCGGGGGGGGGTAGGAGGTGGAGGAGGAGGAGGAGGAGGAGGAGGAGGAGGAGGAGGAGGAGGAGGAGGGGGAGGAGGATCAGGATCATCAGGGTGATCAGGAGGAGGACGAGGAGGAGGTGCGAGGGAGGAGGATACTGAGAATGGTCGGAGCATGGATCCACGATCGTGCAACGCGAGAAGGTGACATGCAGAGCGAGAGCACCGCAAGAGTTAGGTCGGGCATGTCCCCCTACAGAGGGATTTTAGACGAAAACTTAGAACACCCAGAAATATTCAAACAGTAGAAAAATGTTGACACATTGTCCCCTGACTATTTTTGATTGTTTCTGAATGTTCCTCCTGTAGAGGAACAGGCCCGATTCAACGCAAGAGCCGAACTGCAGCGGGAAGGCTCGTGCGGTAAAACAAGGCGCGAGGCACGACTCGACATTGTGGGTGCTCTGCATGCAGATATTCCCCGAAACACACGCGGCCCACGATATCCCTTGCCAACACAGATCGCCGAGGATGAGACAGTATGGGGGCGAAGAGGGGGTGAAGGAGCGTCGGCGGGGGGGCGAGAACACAGGGGGAGAGTGGAGGCGGGGCGAGAGACGGCGGGGGGAGCGAGAGAGGGGAAGGAGAGGCGCGCTCGGGTCATATCTGACATTCTACCCCTCCGACCCCACTCTCTCCATGGCGCTGATGTTTCCTCGATCCGTCGGCGCGGGCCATAGAAGACTTGGCATTCAAAAACAGACCGCATCGAGTCACGCGCAATCGGAAAAAGGTGAGCTGCGTACAGTGGAGGAGGAGCCAGCGGATGAGCAGGAGAATGAGCAGGAGGGAGGAAGGGGAGGACGAGGAAGGAGGACGGGGAGGAACAGAAGCAACATGTGGGAGAAGCGGGAGGAGCAGGATGACCAAGGGAAGGTGCGGGAGGGGCAATGGGCGGAACGACAACGACGAGAGAGCACTCGGATCCGGAGAAGTGGCCCGTGCTGGGGCGAGAAGGCCATCCTGAACGCGGTGAGCAGAGCGCCGAGTCTACAATGAGGGCCACGCTGCAGCGGCACCACTAATTTGAGACACCCGTAGGAGGAGGAGGAGGAGGAGGAGGAGGAGGAGGAGGAGGAGGAGGAGGAGGGGGAGGAGGAGGAGGAGGAGGAGGAGGAGGAGGAGGAGGAGGAGGACTAGGAGGATGAGGAGGATGAGGAGGAGCAGGAGGAGGAGGAGCAGGAGGAGGAGCAGGAGGAGGAGAAGGGGGGAGGGGGAGGGGGACGAGGAGGAGGAGGATGGTTTGAAATCCCGTGCAGAAGACAACTGCGCAGAAAGGGGGTCGCTGCACCCACCGACCGTCGGCAGGGGGAGGAAGAGAGGCGAGCAGTCTTCACCCTGAGTGCTTGTCGGGAGGGTGAGAAAAGGTGGGCAGCGGGGGAGAGGGGGCCATCGGGCGGGGCAGGGGAGCGGGTGGAGGGAGAGGGTTGGGGCAGCTGGCCTTGGGTCGGGCGTGTCCCCCTACAGGCGGGTTGTGGACCAAGAATAAGAAACAGCCAGAACATGCTCAAAGATGGTCAACCGTGGTCGAAACGTCGTCCCCAGACGATTGCTTTTGCCTACTTTTGTGAGTGCTCCTCCTGTAGAGGGACGGGCCCGACGTGACGCTGGCCGGGTCCACAGCCACGCCGGCGCGCCCGTCGTGGCGGCCCGGCCGGCCGAGGCGGGGCGGGCCGAAGCGGGCGAGGGGCGAGGGGCTGCTGGCGCGCCTGGCGGCGCGTGAGCAGCAGGAGGAGGAGGAGGAGGAGGAGGAGGAGGAGGAGGAGGAGGAGGAGGAGGAGCACGAGAAGTATCCTCCACAGCGCATGCAGCAGTGGGTGGCAGAGAGGGGCGGGCCGTCCTGGTCCGTCCGCATCGGGGTCCTGCGGCGCGGACGGCGAGGGCCGGAGCACGGGCGGCCCGGGCGGCCCGCCGCCGAGCACGAGCTGCAGGCGAGCGAGCGGGCGCCCAGCTGGCGCTGCTCCGGGCAGGTCGAGGCCGCGCGCCCCTGCGGGCGGGACGAGACCCGACGCAGCCCTGGGAGCAAGTGGCACTGGCAGGCGCCCACGCGGCGGTCACGCACTGGGCCGCCAGGCTGCCCCATGGCACTGGCGCCCAGGTGGCGGTCACGCACTGGGCCGCCAGATCCCCCCCCCCCGGTCGGAGACGTGCCTCTCTCCGTGCGCGCCCAAAATGCCCGCGCGCCGGGGCGGACTGCCTCTGCCTCGCCGCCGGCGAGAAAACGGTCGCCCATAAGCTGCGCGGAGGGGGCAGGGGAGCCCAGGATCGCATCGACCAGTCGGATCGGCACTCGAAAGGAATCGGATCGGCGGAGATTGGAGGCCGAGTCGGGAAAGTCCGAATCGGCAGGCATCGGCAGGCTAGCTGGCCTCCACTGAGAACTCGGATCCCAAATCGGAATCCCAAGTCGAATCGAATCGGAGTCAGAAGCCATCGAAGTCGAATCGAATCGGATCGGAGGCATCGAAACGAGCCCTGCGGGGGAGGGAGCAGGGAGAGGACACCTTCCCGACGCGGGCCGTCGGCTGAACTCGGCCAGGACAAGCAGCAGCGCCCCAACGGCTGGCAGAGGGACCATACAAGGCCGAGCGAGCTGGGGGCCCGGCAAAGCCGAGACGAGAGCGATCCGAAACGTCGAACTGGGCCACGAAACCTACAGCGGAGGCCCGACCACAAGAAACCTGCCACACGAAGCCCCACCCTGAAACCCCAGGACGTCTGTGGATCTGTTGTGTGGGAACGTCGCGCTCTCCATGGCAAGATCATTGAAACCCAGGGCACCCTGGAGGCAAGCAGGGTGTCTCTTGGCATGGGCCTCCACTGCAGCACGACACGACGGCCTTCCTCGCAGCAACGGCGACACCCCCCCAGAGACCCCAGGGGGTCCTTCGCCCCCCGGTCGGGGTCTGCTGGCGTGTCGGTGTCGGTGTCGGTGGGTGGGCGGGCCGCCAGCGCACGTGTCCATCAACAGCGACGACGGCGGCGGCGGCGACGCGGGCGGCCAAGGCGACGGCGGCCACGGGCACGACGACGGCGGCGGCAGAGGCGAATGCAGCGGCGGCAACGAGTGCGACGACAGCGGCTGAGGCGACGGCGGCAACGAGTGCGACGACGGCGGCGGCCAAGGCTAGGGCTAAGGCGGCAACGAGTGCGACGACGGCGGCGGCTAAGGTTCAGGCGACGGCGGCAACGAGTGCGACGGCGACGGCGACGACGGCGGTCCCTCCCCGACGACGTTGAGAGCAGGAGGGGGCTCATCAAACTAAACTCCCAAAGCACCTTGACCCTCGAGCCTTGAGGAGGAGAAAGAGGAGGACGTGGAGGGGACGGAGGAGGCGAAGGGGGAGGCGGAGACGGAGGAGGCGGCGGGAGGGGAGGCGGAAAGGAGAGGAGGGAGGACGGCGACGAGGACGACGAGGATGAGGACGACGGCGAGGACGAGGGAGGGAGGGACGACGGGATGACGTGCGGGGCCGAGGAGGAGGCGCATCGCCGGCGACAGAGGGGGGCCCGCGGTCTTCAGGTGGATGGCCCTGTCCGCGCCCATGGCCAGCGCCTGCCGCAGCGTCTCCGCGGCCTCCGGGCCCCGCCCCTCCTGGTTGCGTGAAGATCGGCCCTCCTCCTCCTCCTCCTCCTCCTCCTCCTCCTCCTCTTCATCCTCCTCATAGCTGCCATGAGGGCTGAAGAGAAGCTCAGGCAGCAACGGCACCCCGCTTCCCACAGAGCTGAGATCGGGCGCACATGGCGTATCTCGGGCCGAAGGCGGCCTGAGGGCTCGAGACAAACGAGACGAGAGGGAGGCATACACGGGGGTCGACATGGTGCTAAAAATAGTGTACTACAACGCCCAGAGCACAGACTACACGAGACTGGAAGAGATCAGCCTCCAGTGTCGCAGCGTCGACATCATAGTTGTCACCAGCACGCAGCGCCACACGGACATAGAGTATGACATGCAGCAGAACAGTCTCCCGTTCCACAAGGTCCTCCAATTTGGATGGAAAAAATCGCCCTACGTCAACAAGTCATGTGGGGTGGCGGTGTTACTTGGGAAGTATGTTAGTGGAGTTCAAAGTGCTGAAGCCCCACCGCGGTCACAAGGCATCACGGGAAGAGTGGCACGAGTCAAAGTACGGGCACATGGACAGTCAATCAGTGTATATCCAGTCTATTTTCCGCCGAAAGGAACAACGCCGACAGTTCTCAGAGAGACCGCAAAAAGAATGCTTCAATGGATCACTCAGAGGGTCGGCAAAGATGGCCATCACACGCTCCCAATCATAGCAGGTGATTTTAACTGCGGGTTTGGTATCAGACGGGACATGACAGGAGCTGCCTACATCAAAGAGGACGGCCACGTTGGCGTATGCGAGCCGGTGTACGAGAGCAATGTGTCCATGCAGATTCGACAGTTTGCTACAGAGCAGCACATGAGTGTGGCTACGACTCACTGGATGACGGGACCTACCTATTTCCAGAGGGGCGCTTCATCCAAGATCGACCATTTCATATGCCCTACATCAGCGCTCGTTAGCATTCGCAAGGCGAACACGCTGATACGACTGGGGCGCAAACTTCAACTGCAGCCCAGCGCGACCCTCGAGGATCATGTTCCTGTGTATGTGGAAATGGTGCTCCCTAAGAAGAAATATAGTGTGCAAGCACCCTCTCCACCAGCTCATAGAGACCATTTGATGCAGGCTCAAACAACAGGGGCCCGCCGCCAGCAGTACTTCGAGGCGGTGATGAGACATTTGGAGGATGACGACGACAGTTATAAAGCGGCAATGCAGAGCAACAACGTGCAGGCGGTTTGGGACCACATTGGAGGTGCGATCAGGCGGGCCCTGGAATAAGTATTTCCTCCTGTCCCTCGTCGCACGGCAGAGTACCAGGAATACAGGAGCCAGCGCATGGACTTGATCAGACGTAGAGGCATCATGAGAGCCGAAGGAGCTGACAAGAATGAGGAGGAGTTCGAACGAGTCCAGCGACAACTCCAACAGATCACGAGGCGCCTGCAGAACCTTCGGAAGCAGCAGACGGCCGACACGCGACAAGCTTTATTACATGAACTGGTGCAAGTATGGAAGAATCAGATGTGGGCGCAGATGCACAAGATCAAGAACAGCCTGGCATCTACAGGCCGTGGGCCCAAGAAGCGGTACATCTTCGCAGTGAGGCAGAACATGACAGTAGAAGAATGGCGTGACGGACTACAACTTCAACCACACCAAGGGGGCATGCAAGCGAACTCCATCAATTGGGACGAAGCGCTCGACGACGTGCAGTTCCGTCCCAAGATCCTGGAGCGGGACCGTGCCATCCAACTCGCACAGGCTGACCTCGAGGGCCAGATCCGCTACCTCAAGAAGGCCCCCAAGCGCAGAGCAACCCCGAGGTGGGGGGTGTATGCAGAGGCGCTACTACAGTTGCTATCTTCCGAGTTTCACAGCGTCGAGGACCCCAATGGCAACGGTTGGGAGGTGGACATCACACCGACGGCATTTCTGCACAAGTATCAGCAGTTCGTCACACTCGTCAGAGAGACCGACCAGGTTCCACCCAGCTTCCTCCGCTCGCAGATGTTCGCCCAAAGCAAGGACAACGGGAAGATAGGTATCAAGGGACAACGGCTCCTGCACTGTTTCGACTCCTGCAGCATGAGCTGGTTCGGCCAACTCTCGCGCAGGCTCAGGGTGCCTCCGAAGTTTCCGTCTTTCGCTCACGGAGGCATACCTGGTCGAAGGAGAGAGGGGGCCATTCTCGCCTTGAGCAGCGCGATGTGGCGTTGCAGAGATCTGAAGGTGAGTCACACGTTGAGCAACTTTGACGGCACGAACGCGTTCGCGAGCACGGACAGGGAGCACTTGAGGGCACAGCACAGAGCGCAGCACTACGAGCACAACATCGAACTGTGCAAGCACGCCATCGATGGTTTAGTCGTGCACGCCAACGGCATCGATGGGGAAATAGATATGAAACCAGCGAGGGGCACAACTATGGGACACGCCATGGCAGCAGGGGACTTTATTGCAGTATACACGCCGCAAGTGCAACAGTGGAACCAACAGCTGGGAGAGCATGATCACACGTATACTTGGTTGCAGTGCGACAGCATACTGGAGGAGGAGGAGACGGAGGCTGGAGGACAGATGGAGGACATCGGGATCGGGCTGTACGTAGATGACATATCCAGAGTACACATACATGCACATGACGCGTCGCCACGTGCAATGGAGCTTCAGCTAAACACGGCAACAAGTAAGTTGAGCACATGCATCGGGGCGACGGGGCACACACTCAACGAAAGCAAAACGAATCACATCACGCACATCATAGGCAAGGGGTCGTTTGCAGCAGTTAGAACGCTTGCAGCATCCCGCACCGTGTCAGGCAGTATTGTCAGAGAGGCACGTGTATTAGGGCCGCTCCTCATGTTTGACGGCAGTTTGCGGACAGAGCTTCGAGGGCGCATCCGTGCTGCTCGAGCAGGGTGGCGATCACTGGGAAAGCTGTGGGCTGAACCGGTGCCACCCAGGATGAGGAGGCTTCTTTTTATGGCGTACGTGCAGAGTGCAGGATTATCGGGGCTTACAAGCTTCGTACTGCCGCGCAGCTTCACAGACAAGCTCGACGTGGTATTTCTCCGTTTCTTGCGCGTGCTTAGCAGGGGGACCACAGAGGAGATAGACGGGAAGGTCAGAGGGGAGACGTACGCGCAAGTGTTCGCGCACCACAAGCTGTCGCGGACAGTGGTCGAACTCAGGATCCAGCGGATCAGGTGGTACCAAAAAATGGCACGGCATCCCCAAAGACACTCCCAAGTTCTGGCAGGCATTTTTGGAAGCACTCGAATGGACCTCGCAGTAGATAGGCCTCGCATGGGAACAAATGGGGACCCCAACGAACATAGCACCCCGTGGGCTCGACAAGTGTACTCCGACCTCGAGATTTTCGCGAAGGTCGATCCTGAATCTAGGTTTGCGCAGAAGTGGAACTCTAGGGACGGGCTGTTAGATTTCTTCAGGAAGGAGGAGTCTCGGAAGGTGTTCTACGAGAAAAGGCCACAGCACATCAGGCACTTGTTTGACAGGCACTACGAGGCAGAGGAGAAGGAGGACAAATACAAAGGAGCGGAGTACATAGAGGGGGAGGAGGACGAGAACGAGTACATATGCACGCACGAAACACCTGAAGGCCATGTCTGTGGGAGCGTGTTCACGACGATGAGGGCCCTGACGGCCCACTTGAACAAGACGCACAAAATGAGAGAGCTCTACTCCATGCTCACGACGACGAACGTGTGTCCCTGGTGTCGGAGGATATTCGCGTCTCGGGCCAGTTGCATCAGACACGTGTGGGCCATGTCCAGAGCTAGTCCCCTACGCTGCCCGACCAGAGCCGTTTCGTTCGAGTTTCAGCCGATTGAAGCGGACAATTACAGTTGCGAGCTGTGTAGTCATTCCAGCACCGAGATAACAGCCCACCTCGATCACGTCCAGCAGCACGCCGCAGGCCCAGTACACGATCTTGTGGATGACTGGACTGCCCGACCAGAGGTCCCAAGGAGCAGACGCGGGAGGAGGGCCACGGCGAGGAGGCAGGCAGCTCAAGCATGCCCGCAGCAAGGGGGCTGAAGTTGGCTCAGACGAAGATGTAGATGCGACCGTGAACGAGAAGATCGTCAGGCTGCAGAGGCTCATGCTCAGCAACACCCAGACGCTGAGGATCCTCAAGGGAGTGTTGTGGGACTGCCTCATAGTCCCGATGGATCACGCGGTGGCGTCCGAGAGCATGCACACAGGGCAGCAGGACTACCGACTGAGCAACGAAGAGAAGCGCAAGGACCTGCACATCTTCGGGTATACTATTCTCATGCGCGTGAAGATGCAGGGCTCGCCAGACGGTACCAAGGAGACCCTAGAGCAATTCGCCAAGCTTATGACGAGCAGGGATCGCGAGGAGCCCAACGATCATGTCCGCTACTTCCATACCAAGAAGAAGTACAACGAGGACAATCAGAAGGCGGACAAGGACAAGAGTCACGTGATGTTGAGCCCGATAGCCACCAGCCCGTTCCACAAGTATCAACAGATTCAGCGATACAGGGACAACACGGGCGATCAGGTCGAGATGCAAGTGATAAAAGCACTGGTGGCAAGCGGCGGAGAAGTGAAGACGGGCAGTCCACCAACATGAGCTCTGGTGCGCGCAGTTCAGGCATCAGTGCAGGAGCAATCGATGTAGAAGGGCTTCGCAGAATGGCGCAGGCGGGAAGTGAGAGGGCCAGACAGCTGCTCAGAGACCTCAAGCGCCAGACGAAGTGAGGCGGAGCTGACACCATCTAGTAAATGGCTAACGCCAGTGTCCAGCTTAGCAGACGTTGTTCGTGGGCCGTCTGTGGATGGGTGGTCCCTCGCCTCTTCCTTTTTCTTTTCCCTTTTCTTCTCCTGTTCCCTGGTTCGGGGTGTTCCTCGGGCTGGAGGAAGGGAAGACAGTGTTCTCACGCCGACGGAGAGAGAAAGCGGTGAGAGATGAGTGCTCACCGACTGCTTCACAATCTACAGGAGCAGC